TAAACTATGGGAGCTACGAGGTCTCTGTTAGTCTGTCTCACAGTCCATAAACCACATTCCTTTCCCTCTCGCCTAGCCCTTTCTGCAATACTTAAGCGATAAATGACGATATATTTCCTCGGGTTCTGAATCTCCCAACTCACCGGGGCTCCTTTTCAATTTATAAGCAAATATTAGTTTCTACCCAAATTATATATATATTATTAAGCGTTAGTGTACTGGTGAGGGTACAACCGGTTTTCTAATTAATATAATATTATCTCACTTCTAGCAAACGTGTTTAATAATATTAATCAGTGCGCATAAATATACAGGTTCCTATGTTATTCTGAAAATTGATTTCAACCTGACTCTTCCTTGTATATTGTACTCTCCCTTGTATATTGTACTCTCCCTTGTATATTGTACTCTCCCTTGTATATTGTACTCTCCCTTGTATATTGTACTCTCCCTTGTATATTGTACTATCCCTTGTATATTGTACTCTCCCTTGTATATTGTACTATCCCTTGTATATTGTACTCTCCCTTGTATATTGTACTCTCCCTTGTATATTGTATTATCCCTTGTATATTGTACTATCCCTTGTATATTGTACTCTCCCTTGTATATTGTACTCTCCCTTGTATATTGTACTATCTCCCTTGTATATTGTACTATCCCTTGTATATTGTACTATCCCTTGTATATTGTACTATCCAAAGGCACATCACTCATTTACTGACGCTCATTAGTATCACGTTCAATGCGTTAGCCCGTCACACAGAAAGTCCAGGTTTGATTCTCATGGGTAAACATGTGTCAAGCCCATGTCTGTTTTTCTCCGTTGTGCTGGAAAGTTACTCATATGTGTAAAACCACTCACAGTCTATGTCTTATAAATGAGAAAAATACAACCACAAATGGCAACAAAAACAACTGTTGATTATTGCAAGAAGATGACTCCACAGCAACTCACTCCAAAATACCAGCTGATAAAGACAACATACAAGCTGATAAAGACAACATACCAGCTGATAAAGACAACATACCAGCTGATGAAGACAACAAACCAGCAGAAAGACAACATACCAGCTGATGAAGACAACATACCAGCTGATGACAAGACCAGCTGATAAAGACAACATACCAGCTGATAAAGACAACAACATACCAGCTGATAAAGACAACATACATACCAGCTGATGAAGACAACATAAAGACAACAGCTGATAAAGACAACATACCAGCTGATGAAGACAACAAACCAGCAGATGCTGAAGACAAGACATCATACCGGCTGATGAAGAAGACAACATACAAGCTGATAAAGACAGAAGACAACATACCAGCTGATGAAGACAACATACCAGCTGATAAAAGACAACATACCAGCTGATGAAGACAAGACAACATACCAGCTGATAAAGAGACAACATACCAGCTGAAGAAGACAACATACCAGCTGATGAAGGCTGATGAAGACAGACAACATACCAGCTGATAAAGACAACATACCAGCTGATAAAGACATCATACCAGCTGATAAAGACAACATACCAGCTGATGAAGACAAGACAACATACCAGCTGAAGAAGACAACATACCAGCTGAGACAACATACCAGCTGATAAAGACAACATACCAGCTGATGAAGACAACATACCAGCTGATAAAGACAACATACCAGCTGATGAAGACAACATACCAGCTGATGAAGACAACATACCAGCTGATAAAGACTGATAAAGACAGCATACCAGCTGATAAAGACAACATACCAGCTGATAAAGACAACATACCAGCTGATAAAGACAGCATACAAGCTGATAAAGACAACCATACCAGCTGATAAAGACAACATACCATCTGATGAAGACAACATACCATCTGATGAAGACACCATACCAGCTGATAAAGACAACATACCATCTGATGAAGACAACATACCATCTGATAAAGACAACATACCATCTGATGAAGACAACATTCCAGCTGATATAGTTAACATACCAACTCTGGGAGACAACATACCAGCTGGCAATGACATCATACCAGCTAATTAGGACATTATACCAACTGATAAAGATATTCATACATATTTACAAGCTTCGTATATTTACAACGAAGGGCATATGTACAATTGTACAATGATTTTACAACATATGATATCCTGGCATAGTTTAGACATAGAGATTGAAACATTGCATCGAACACAATGGCATGGGGAATGCAATGTGCACCCAATTGGATTTCGATGCCAGGTTCGAATTAAACGTATTTTCAGATAAACAGATATTGTTATTCATCTTCAGATGATGTTACATATTTCCATGTGAATATCAAATAATAAACATCACCTAAACTTGATCCATGTACGAACTGATTAGTAACATGCATGTTGTGACCAGTTGAGATCATGGGTTGGATTTGGTCTTCAGCTACCTCTGCTTGTAAAGAGGCGACTAACGCCGAACGGGATCGGGTAGTCAGACTCGCTGACTTGATTGACACATGTCATCGTGTCTCATTTGAGTACAGACCGCCTCCGTGGTGTAGTGGTTAGAGCGTCCGCCCGGAGAGCGGAAGGTCTCGGGTTTGATCCCCGACTGCGTCATACCAAAAGACGTTAAACTATGGTTCTTGGCATTAATGGGTACAACAAGGACTGGTCGGCTCGGAGTCAGTATAATGTGTCTGAGTGGGGTATTCATGCTTCACTGCGGCATGGTATCTCAGTGGGCTAGCACTATAAAACCAGCTTTAGTCTGGGCTAGTACAAGCAGCCGCACATACCCATACACACGCATGCACGTCGTCATATGAGCGAAATATTCTCAAGCGCGACGTTAAACCCAATTTCACCCCACCTCACCTCATTTGAGTACATCGATGCTCATGCTGTTGACCACTGGATTGTACTGATTATTTACAGCCGTCATATAACTGGTTAAACAACAAACAAACGAAACATTCATGCTGTACTGAAAGTTGGGTGTCATTATGTCAAACAATATTCTTTACCAAATTTGACACTACCATACGTCCTTGCCAAATTCGATGACAATATAAACTGACGGGCTAAAGAAACGTTACCACTTTCAAATTGAAATCACCCAAAATTCCAAATACAGCTGCAATCACCATCACATCATAATCACATGAAAACACATCGCCCAAACAAAACAATGAGTTTTCCACTAGGAAATATGGCATACTTTTTCACCATTTTTCCCAAATATGGTTTGCATGTTTTCCATGCAAAGCGACAAAATTAAATGCCAAACGGGTATATAACCAATGCAAACGGGTTGTCAGACATTCATTCTATTAAAAAAAGACGCTAAATGAAAGCCACGATTAACTTTGCGATAACGAGAACGGGCGAGAATCGGAATGATCGAAAGGGACAAACACACACACACACACACACACCCCACACACACATGTTGCAAGAGCTTGGCTGTCATCGCGTCACCGTCACCAGACCCGTGCAGCGACACCGTCAACAGGACTGACCTCACACAGGCCACGGTTAGGCAGACCTCGAGTCACAACGCCCCAGGAGGACCAGTATCTGCGCACATTGCATCTCAGAAACCGATTCCTGACGGTGACGTCATCAGCGGCGCATGGCATGGGTCACCGTGTGAGCCGATACACAGTAGCCAGTCGACTGAGGTCCCATGGAATCCGGGCTTACAGACCTTTCCGGGGACAGCAGTTGACAGACTGGCAGCGATGTGAGTGACAGAAGGTGCTATTCTCGGATGAATAATTATCTTTAACAAATTCACACATGCATCTATACCTAATTCTTTACATATTCACTCATTTGACGCCACCATACATCTTTACTAAATTTGACGCCAAAGTACAATTGTTTCACCAAGTTCGACTCCAATAAACATTAAACTAAAACCAAAAGGCTGACATACACATTAACCAAATTTGACATCCTACATCTTTAAAAATTCGACGCCAAAATAGACCTTTACTTAAACTGACGCCAGCATATATCCTCACCAAATTTGACGCCAATAAAAACTATCCTTTTCAAATTTGACGCCGACAAACGTCTTGTCCAATTTTGACACTAACTGGCATCTGTTATATGTTGGGACCGTGCAGTCTGACTTGCGATCGAGAACTTGATGTTCGTAGTACCTCGGATTGTTCCGGAAGTTAAAGTGTACATTCCTTAGTTACCTCCTCTGAGAGAAACAAAATGGCGATACAAAAACTTCAAACGTTTCCCGACCAAAACGTTTACGAAAGAATAAACTGTTCCATAAAGTACAGGACACAAATATGTCTGTCCCATTTTGATTTCTTTTAAACTAGAAGTCACGAAAACGATGTGTTTTGGGTAAGAACACCGGGCCGGATGTTATGGTGAATATGTACTGAAGTTTTGAATGTGACTCGATCTACTACAACATATATTTGAATAAAAATGTCAAATTGTAGTAACGATATTGAAACACTCACACACTCTAGCGTATCTCAATAAAATGCCTTATTTTGAACTGTCAAAGTACGGTTTCCCGGTTCCAACTATATTTCAGTAATATACCAGCTATAATAGAAAGTATGGTCTCGTACACCATTATACTCGAAATTGCAGTTATCTCCCCTTTAACTCCAAGATATTATCTTTGCAACTGTCAGATCAAAACTTTACATCATCCAGCATAATCGTTTCTTGAGGTTTAACTTTATTATCTCCATTTTTCGCTTCCGCCATTTTCTTCCTGAACTGGATGCCATCTTGCGTGTCTGTTCGTCCCCATGCCTCGTCTACAGGCTCTGCTTCTTGTCCATTACCTTCAATCTCTTCGATTGCTTTTGAATACGTGTAAAAGAGTAGGAAGTTGCTTACAAAGATTGGCACAGTGACAGCGATGAGAATCACCCCACAGATCGCGCAAAGGCAGCCTAACAGCTTACCCTGAAGGGAAACTGGCGACATGTCTCCATACCCGACTGTTGTCATGGTAACGACCACCCACCAAGCGGCGTCAGGGATACTGCGCATGTTCTCTCTCCAGGAAGTACATGATGCTGGCGAAAAGGACGGTTCCGATGGAGAGGTACAGGAGGAGAAGAAGTATTTCCCGGATGCTGGAATGTAGGGAATACACTAGGACCCGGAACCCGATCACGTCCTTCACGATCCGGAATACCCGGAAAACTCGCAGAATCTGCAGAATTTCCACGTAATCCAGAATCGAGGTCTTGAAACGCTCTTCTGGGAGCAGATACTCAACTAAGGTCGTTGCGTACATTGCCCCCAAGCTAACGATATCCATTATGTTCAGAAAACTCCGACAAAAGCGTAACTTATTAGGACAGAAAATGATCCGGAAAATTGCCTCCAGAGTAAAGAAGACTATCGTGGCATACTCCATGTACGTCAAAAAATATCGCCGTGCGTACAGTGAGTTTGTATCGATATCCAGTTCCTCTTCTTCATCATCATCGTCTGTGCCAAAAGTTGGGATAGGGGGTGTAATATTTACAGCCATTGCTTGACCTGTAGCTTCACCCGGAACACGAAATGGCTTTGGTAGACGAGGGCGTGCAGGGGTAATTTGTCTTTGTGTTTTTGATAGGTATCTTGTCCTAGAACCAACGTCCACTCAGTCTCGTCAAGATCTCGTTGGAAACGTGGGTGGGTGCTTGCTGCGAGAACGAACAGTGACATCAAGACGAACACGGTTGAAACTCCCAGGTAAAACTGAAAAACAAAAAATAAATTGAGTGAATAGGTAGGTTTTTCACCATGATAAACAGTATTTCACATCGATAGTTACGATTTTCACCTTTGGTGGATAAATCGTGAGTGGCTGAGCAATATGCATTAAGTGACGTAATTCATGCGCAGGATCGCTAGTTCACCATACACATCGCAAACCATTTTACAAATAAACTGAAAAAAAAATCACTTTGGAAAGAGAATAAGATATTTCCACACTTGGATATCAAATTGGAGGTATAAATAGCAGATACTTCCGCGATAGTGTTGACAGACCAGGGTGTTGTTTGTCAAAGCGATCGTATCCGTGAAGATCCGGATTAGAATTGGTCTTCAGCTACCAATGCTTGTCGTAAGAGGCGACTAACGGGATCGGGTGGTTAGGCTCGCTGGCTTGGTTGACACATGTCATCGGTTCCCAACTGCGCAGATCGATGCTCATGTTGTTGATCTCTGGATTGTCTGGTCCCGACTCGATTATTTACAGACCGCCGCCATATAGCTGGAATATTGCAAACTGTGGTGTTAAACAACCAACCAACCAACCAAAGCGATGGCAGCTCACGGACTATCGTAAGTCTATGTTCGATGACGTTGCGACCCAGCCCTGAAAGTCGTATGTGCGATGACTCTAGGATTCGAAACAAGAAAAAACATGGCTTGGGCCCCGTTTCCACAAATCTATCGAAGCGGTAAGAAGATCGCAACTCCCATAATTTAACACAGATTTACGGCAGTCGTGGCTCTAAAATCGCCAGGAGTCGAGTTTAACACTGCTCTTAGCAATATTCCAGTAATATCACGGCGGGGCTTCACATATGCATTGGACTGGTCTTCAGCAAACCATGCTTATCGTAAGAGGCGACTGGGTGTCAAGGCTCAGGGACTTGTTTGATGCTTGTCATCGTTTTTACGCCCCATTTAGCAACATTCCAGCAATATCATAAGAAATGGGCTTTACATATTGTACCCACGTGGTGAATCGAACCCGGGACCTCTGCCTTGACGAGTGAATGCTTTAAGGACAAGGCTACCAAACCCCGCTATTTGAGAAATTGACGCTTTAAAGTTTGACAAACATGACATTAGTGTTCCTGATGAAGTGTGGGTTTAACGTCACTTTTGACAGCATGTAAGGCCTGAGACATTTACCACTTTGGGGGATACCAACCAACACAATACCAACGATGACAAACCTAGAAAGGTTCAATGCCAGAAATTCAGCATGTGTTATCTGCCAAATGGGGTGTAAAAGGCTAAATAGGGTCGACAAAGTACGCCATAATACCTAAGTGAGTGAGACGCTTTAACCACTAGGCTTAACCGTCACCTGGGCAAAAATGAGTGAGTGAATATGGTTTTACGCCGCTTTTGGTAATATTCCAGCAATATCATGGCTGAAAACACCAGAAATGGGCTTCACATATTGTACCCATGTGGGGAATCGAACCCGGGTCTTCAGCATGACGAGCGGACGCTTTAACCATTAGACTACCCCTGCGCCCACCGCCCCTCATCCTACCTGGCGGGAAACACCAGAAATGGGCTTCCATATTAGCTCCGATAGACGACGAAGGGTCATCGAGAAGTGCCCACGTCCTTGCCCTGCAGCCTCTGCTGGGTTGACCTTTCACCTTTGGATCTTGCAGGGGTGTATTTTGTTCAAATCGTTTCAAGGTTCGTTCGTCGTCAAAGAAAGACAAATACTTCCGGTAGCAACAAGGGGCCATAACCTTAGCGTCCACTTTCCAAAACTCTAGCTCTCGCTGGAACGTATTCGGACACACGTTGACCGGAAGGTGCAGGGCACCGTGTTGCGCATACTCCAGGATGGCTTCAAAACACCCAGCATTCCTCTCGATAAAATATTCACTTCCTTTACTGTTTGTCACATCCGGTTCAGGGAGATGGACATTTTTACACTCCACGAGTTTGAAAAACACTTGTTTGCTTAACTCAAACTTTGTCCCATTTAAATTGAAAATGAGACGTGTGGACATTTTCCAACCAATATCACACCAATCCCGTTCAGATACTGCTGTTCAGATACTGTGGTTCAGACACTGTTGTTTACAGACTGCTGTTCAGATACTCTTGTTCAGATACCATAGTTCAGATACTGTATTTCCGTAAAATGTGTCCAGGTTCTTATATATAGATAAAACAGGCCGAAATATGTTCCAAACTGACGTTTCAAGTAGGAAAAAGTGAGAACTAAATTCGTGGTTGTCCCACCCACTGCATATAGACTATGAGATAACGGGATGTCGTGTAGGGAGATTGCAGCTCCACAGAAGAATATCGCGCATAATGCCCACTTGTTCAGTACTGGCGACAATACATAAATACATAAGATCATATACATGTGTGTTAGGCCGCTATTGGTCGTGGCACCGTGCCAGGCTAATGTGTCCCATTCATTAAAAATCACATGTCCCTGGGCATTCAATGGAGTATTGATCTGGAGGTGGTATCTGTACAACAAACTCAGGGTGGATTCGGCCTGTTCTCTCGGCGTGAGGCTCCCAAGGGGCCCCGTGTTCGTAAACTGTCAATTATGGATATTTCATTATCATTTCAAAGGAATCGTAATGCTTTGTTCAATGCTGCGGTCATTGTAAGACTCAATGTGATTGTCCATTGTTATGCGTGTGTACACTCATGAGCCGAACCCCTGGGAAAGATACATGTTTTCAAATTTTAACCATGTTTCCAAAGATGACACTGTATGGCACACGCAGTTCGAGACCTCGCTGGTTTGTTGTGGTGATGTATTGTTTCGGGTTGAACGACTATGGATGTCTCGTCCGCTCATCGTACCCGCTCATCGTACCCGTGAAGATCCGAGTTAGAATTAGTGTTCAGTAACCCGTGCTTGTCGTAAGTGAGTGAGTGAATGAGTTTAGTTTTTTGTTTAACTCCGCACTCAACAATATTCCAGATATATGGCGGCGGTCTGTAAATAAGCAAGTCTGGACCAGACAATCCAGTGATCAACAGCATGAGCATCGATTTGCGCAATTGGGAACCGATGCATGTGTCAACCAAGTCAGCGAAACTGACCTCCCGATCCCGTTAGTCGCCTTTTACGACAAGTATAGTCCCCTTTTATGGCAAGCACATGGGTTGCTGAAGACCTATTCTATCCCGGATCTTCACGGGTCGCTTGTCGTAAGAGGCGACTAACGGGACATGACGGGAGGCGCTGTCATGTGATCGTATCCCAATTGAGTAGATCGATGCTCATGATGCTGATCACTGGATTGTCTGGTCCAGACTTGCTTATTTACAGACCGCCGCCATATAGCTGGAATATTGCTGATCGCGGTGTTACACAACCACCTAACCAATCCACTCATCGTTGGATACGTTCCCAAAACAACTCTTTGTACATCTTCCGAGAGAGGGGAGTAAAAGTCCACTTTTCACTTTTGCCGTTCGAGCTTCGAATTTTGTTGCAGTTGTGAGCTCTGATATTTATGTCCTTCAACTGACCAATCAGATCCCACTTTTCATGTCACGTGCACTGGCTGAAATGAAATGGCGGCGTAGTATAACAGACCTTGCCTCGCAATGCATGAAACCCTGGGGAAAGTAACGGCGCTCATGGACTTCAAATCACAGGTCCTCGTGTCTTTGCGATGATTAAAGATTTATAAAATATTGTTTTTGAGATGACCCCCGACTCGAAATGCTTCACAGTACATATACATCATGACAAGTCCGGACACTTCGGTGCACCCTACCCGACTGCTTTGCCGATGGCTACGCTACCATCGCATGCAATCGACTAAAACTTAATGTAAACATAATCATGGATGATTGGCCTATCGAGCACCACTCATGACACCTACCAATTCTTTATTGTTATTTCTGCAAGTCGATTGAAACCCGATTTTGACTCTCAACTAAACGATCTTGACACAAATAGATGACGATATAACCCCACACAACGGGAGTATGGTCGAAGCAAGCCCTGTATATTTTTAAAAAATCTTTAATCCGCGCAAAGACACGAGGGCCTGTGCTCCAAATCAGATAGTGAGTTTAGTTTTACACCGCTGTCAGCAATATTCCAGCTATATGGCGGCGGTCTGTAAATAACCAAATCAGATAATCTACCGATTCGTGAAAGGAGCCCCTGTTTTTCCAATGTATACTGGGGCGGTGGGTAGCCTAGTGGTTAAAGCGTTCGCTCGTCACGCTGAAGACCCGGGTTCGATTCCCCACATTGGCACAATGTGTGAACCCTAATTCTGGTGTCCCCCGCGGTGATATTGCTGGAAAATCCGCGTAAAACCATACTAACTCCAATGTATGCTAAAACACAAACAAATTTACAAATCTTGATTGGGAATTCCCAGGGGGTTCCAAAGGAATGTTGACGTAGTCCGTCAGTGCATTGTGAATTGGCTTTTGTACTTTAGCTGGCGACAGTTGTACACATGATATGATGTTGATACTGTTGCTAGGTAACACATATCCATGACAAAAGGTATTGTGTTGAATACCGTCGGAATAAGACTGAATTTGTTCTTTAACGATGAGTGAGTGAGTATGGTTTTACGCCTCTTTTAGCAATATTCCAGCAATATCACGGCGGGGGACAACAGAAATGGGCTTCACATATTTTACCCATGTGGGAATAAAACTCGGGTCTTCGGACGCTTTAACCATTAGGCTACCTCACCGCCTCCTTAAACGGTGAAAGCTCCTTAATCATAATTACTGAATTTAGGTCAGAATATATTTACATACAAATATTTATTT